CCCCCAGCCCCTCCCCTTCGCCCGTGCCCAGCCCGTCACCCAGCCCCTCAGCGGTGCCCCTGCCGTCCCCGAGCCCCTCGCCCATCGCCACCTCCTCTTGGTGGCGGCCCAAGGCCTCCGACAACCTGGGGTGGCAGTACATGACGTCAGCAGAGTTCAAGCCCGCCACCATGTGGGTCGCAACCGCCAGCGTTTACGTGATCGACCTCTTCCTCAACAGCGCCGCGACGACAGCCGGCATCGCAGCCAACGGCGGTTACGCGGTCTGCCATTTCAACGCCGGGACCTACGAGGACTGGCAGCCGGACTCTGGTCTGTTCACCGCCGCCGACCACCCGGCGTCAGCGTGGCTGGACATCCGCTCGTCCAACGTGCGGTCTATCATGCAGAAGGTGAGGGGGCACGCTGCAGTAGCCAGAGGGATGGGACGTGTTTTTGTCGCCGTGCGTAACTGCAGAAGTTCGACGCATCCTTCTAACCTTGCCATACAAGTTCCTCAGCTTTCAACTCACCTTGACAAAATGGTCCGGCTCGCTCAACTGCCACCCCAGCGCCTGGAGCTGTGCAAGTCAAAGGGCTTTGTGGCGGCGGTGCCGGAAGGCCTCGACGCTTACGCCAATGCCAACGGCGTGGGCCTCACTGCGGCCGACCAGATCAGCTACAACACATTCCTGGCCAACGCGGCTCACAACCTGGGTCTGTCTGTTGGCCTCATGAACGATCTTGACCAGATCGGCCAGCTGCTGCCCTCCTTTGACTTCTTCGTCAACGAGTGAGTCGCTGGGGACTGCTTTAAGTGCGCCCAGGCAGAGGGGATGGAGATGGGATTCTGGCTCTGGCTCTGGTCGGCCCAGCCAGATGCATCTGGGCATGGTGGGGTGCAGGACTCGTGCTTGATTTGCGGCTGACAGCAGCCCGTGCGTTTGCCGCGCCACCATGCAGGGAGTGCATGAAGTACTCAGAGTGTGGCCTGTACAAGCCCGCCAAGCTCGGTGAGTTCGGCACACACTTGTTTGACCGCGTTTGACCGGTCGCTGCTGGGTGTATGTGTGACCAGCCTCAAGAACCTTGGTGCGCCTGCTTTGAACATTCGAAATTCCTCACAATGCCAATAATCAGGCAACAGATAAATTGGCAGACCTAGTAGGCAGCCCTGATTGTCGCGCTACGAAGCAAGATGTGTCCCTCACAATCGGATGCCTGCCCGACACCCGGCGTTGCACCTTTCGCAGCCAACCTGCCCGTGTGGCAAGTTGAGTACGGCAGCTCCAGCACCGGCACGACTTTCTTCCAGACCGTGTGCAAGTGCCAGTCCACCTGGGGCGTTAAGTCCATCTACAAGGTGCGCTGTCTGAGCTGCAGCGCCCGCTCACTGCCCTTGCCCCTTGCTTCCCATGCCTTTGTCACAGCGCTTGATCACTTCCTTCCTGGCACCCTGCTGCCAACAGGCGTTGCTCTGGCCTGATCATGTATGTGTTTTACCTGCGGAAGCAGGAAACTACAACAAACAGCGCCCGTTTCCTGGCCTGCCACAGCCTTACATAATTGCACGCATGCGGCCGTGTCCTGCCCCCTTAAGCTTGCCGCGACTCTGCTCCCACCCTTTTCCACCCGCGCAGTACACTTCGATCAACACCTTCCGCCTGGAGTGCGCGGCCAAGTACCTGTCCATGGCCTGCCCCTACAGCGCCAGGAGGCTGCTGGCCAACTGAATCCCTTGATGATCATCAAGGGCGCGCGGTCGTCACGACGACCGCGCCCCCGATTGGGGGCGCGGGGCGCCGTCACTGCTGTGCGCGCCCCTGCAACGCAACGCAGCCACCAGCCGCGACGCACGCGTGCGTCTGCCGAGTTCCTTCTGCTTGCTGCCGCGCAGCGCAAGGTGGTGGCCGGGGGCGCCCGGGTGCGCGTCCGGCGCCAGGGCTCACTTGAGCCCTACCGAGGCGCCAGAAGAGATGACAGCAGTTGCACAGCACGAGCAGCGTGGCAGCCATTTTTTTGGGGGCCCACCTGCACGAAGCGGATACGGTGACGCGCACGCGGAAACCCGCTTCATTCGGTCTCGCAGAGACGCCGCATTGCCGGCCGCGCGCTGCAGCATGCACGCTTTCATGTGTTGGCGCTGCGAGGCGCTTTCTCGTCCATTCCCTTGCTGCTTGGGCACGGCGCCGCTGATATGCTCACTTCACCTCCACACACTTGAGCAGGGTTTTGATCGCCGCGCCCCTTCCGATTGGAAGGGTCGCCGGCCCGAAAAAATGCACCAACACACACTGCCGGCCAGCAACGCACGTGGAAAGAACTGCCGCCAACCCGCTTTTTTTGCCTAGACCCCTTTTGCCGCTTTTGAGTTTTTAGACTCCCAACCCCTGCTGCCGGATGGATGAGCCTCGCGCCACCACGCGCACCCGGCCCTTGCAGGAGGTCGCACCCTTGCTTGCACCCGTATTCGATTTGCAGGCGCCGCCGCCTGGTCTTCCTCGCTGGGGCCTGGGCGTCGCACGCCTCGCAGCCCCGAGCTGCGTCGGTCGGTGTTGCAAGCAAACGCCCCGTCGGCCTGCACACGCTAGGCCAGGCCTCGACTCCAAACACCATCAGCTGCTGCCCATCCATCCCTTGGCGATCATGGCTTTGATCCGCTTATATATGCCCCTCACCACAACATTGCTTGCCGTTGACTCAACCCACCAGGACTCCAGGAAGCTATACAAACTGTACATTTCTTGCCCCCATAAGCACTGCTGGCATCACATCTCTCGCCGGCCAGTGTGTGCGCGGCCGTTGCCGCCGCCGCACATCAGCAGCAAAATGACTTGCAACAATTCCTTGCCGATTTTCATCATTTGTAGAGTCCAGGAGGTTCCTTGCCCGGGCAGGCGGGCAGGCATCGTATCAGAGACCTTTCTTCAACTTGCTGCGGCGGTTCAGCACCACCGCCTGCAGAACTTTTTGGCATGCGTCTGCGTGGCAGTGACCTGCTGTAACTCACGCGCATCTCTCAAGGTTGGGGACAAGGGGGGAAGGGCCACATCACCAAGGAAGTAATGACGTGTTCTGGAGAGCCAGGGGTCTTAGTGCCAGCCCAAGAATGCCCCTCAAGAAGCTACACATAATCGTACCAGCAGGCTCGTGCTTGATGACAACCCACAACGGCTTGCGAGTGCTGCTGCTGCTGCTGCTGCTGCTGCTGCTGCTGCTGCTGTTTTGCAGATGTTTGCATGCACTCCTGCCAGTTCCACCCAGCCCCAAGATCAGCTGCCAATGCAGATATTGCCCTGCGCTGCCTGCCCCTGGGCTGCCGCTGGCAGCGCAGCCATCGCCGTAGGCGCCCGCAGAGATCACAAGACGGGAAAGCGCTACTTGCCCCAACAAAAGACCACCCCTGCCAGGCAAGAATACGAGCGACCAGCCTGCTGACCCCAGACAGATTGGAGAAGAGTGGCAGGAGAAGATGCGCGTTACAGCCTACGCACGCTGGGGCAAGCTGGGTTGCCTCGGTGCCGCGCGGGGGAGACAATGCGTCAAGTTGCAACGATCTGCCGGCATGCGCGTGCGCGACGCCGGGGCGTTGTTGCTGTTTGGCTGTGGGCACAGCATGCAGGCCTCGCGCCGGAGGGAGCAAGGGCGGGTCAAGCAAAGGAAGCATCGAATAAGCCACAAACCATTCAAAATGCATATACAGGAGAGGGCTCCCGGTGATGCTGTCAGGTCAGAGACGCGAGCGAGTGCACAAAAAACACAAAAGCCAGTGGGAACAAACGCGCTGCCATTGAGACAGTCGTGGCGCCCTCATGCATGCCTGCACAGGCCGCGGGGCGCTCCTGGCGGTTCACATGGGTGGGCGGCAGGACGCATTTCCATTCCCGGCCACGCTCTCTCAAAACCACTCACGCAGTGTCGCACTCAACCGATGTCCCCCAAAACTGGACAAAACAGGGGATGACAACACATACGGCCCGCTGGCTCGAGGCCGCCACCACTGGTGGCGCGCCCGCCATCAGCGCCGGCCAGGTCCTTCAAATCCGCGAGCTCGCGCGGCGCCAATGCGCGCGTGCACACGCACGCCTCCCATACCGCGCAAGATCACCCCCGTGCGTAAGAGTCCTTGTCGAGGTTAATGACGGTTGACTTGATCTTGACCATCATGGCGAGGCTGTTGCGGATGCCCTGGCTGCCGATGCCGCTGTCGCGGAAGCCCTGGAATGGGAAGTGGTCTGGGCCGCGCGCCGGCGCAGCGTTTATCTGCCAGGAGGGGCGATGCGCAGCCGGGGGCCCGGGGGGACGGCGCGGTTGTGTGTGAGTAAGCGGGCCGCGCGGCGCCGAAGCAGTAGGGAAGCGCGAGGCCACGATAGACTTTGGCTGGGGCGGGGCGGCTGACGGGACCGTCGGGACCAGGCGCGGCGCGCGCCCGAGGGCGGGGCCTCGCGCGCACCCTCGCGCACACACAGCGCCAGGGGACAGCGGCGCCCCGCAGCTGACGGCCGCTGCGTCTTGCGCTAGAGGCGACGCGGCGGCCGAGCCCAGCGCGTTTCTTGGGGGCGCAGTTCTCCTGGCGGGCCCAGGCCTGATTGGCGATTGAGCCGCCCACCTGCACTGTGCCGGTCTCCATGGCGTCGCTGATGGCGATCGCCCTGTTGACGTCCCGCGTGAACACGCAGCCCTATGCAGAGGGGGCGTGGCAGAGGCAACAGGGGTCAGGGGGACTCGACCTGGCCCGCCGGCTGCGCGCGAGGGCGCGCCCGTGCACGCAGGGGCCGGCCGGCCGCATGTTCATGATCAAGCGCAACCACAGGGGCCGCACGTCGCGGGAGCTTCAACCACAGATGGCACCGCTGCCCCCCGAGCCTATGCGCTCCTGCACGCCCGCCCGCCCACCTGCAGCGCGAGGTTGTTGGCGTTGCAGTGCGCGACGGCCTGGTCAACCGAGTCAACCCTCATGATGGGCACCACGGGGCCGAAGGGCTCCTCCCAGGCGATGCGCATCTCGGGGGTCACGTGGTCCAGCAGGGTGGGCCAGATCAAGTTGCCCTCCCTGCGGCAAGGCCACGCCGCAGCGTCGGCGTTGGCAGGGCGCGGCGGCCGGCCGCGAATAATCAGGGAGAGGAGGGCGGTTCGGGGCAAAAGGGCCGGCGGAGGGCGCGCAGGGGAAGCCGGGGAGTGCGGCGAGCTGCGGCGCGCCCCGCTCGATGGGACGGGCCTGGTGTGTCACGCTGCTGGGCCCCCGCGTGATGCCCCTCGGGTGCCCGCTTGATGCCCTCCTCTTCGCCGCTCAGAACGCTCATTTTCCCCCACGCACCGCAATGCGCACGCGTGCGCACACGCGCGCACACACACACACACACACTTACACACACGCGCGCGCGCGTGCAACCCCCCTTCACACGCATTCACACCTCCTGTAGGGTGTGAGGAACTTGGCCCCCTTGGCCCTGGCGTCCTCCACCAGCCCCTCAATGAAGTCCGCGCTGCTGTCACTGATTACAGGGGTTATGTCAACATCGTCTTTGGGGTCGCCCACGGTCAGCTTGGCCACGCCTGCAGCCACCTGATCGGGTGTGTGTGTGTGCACATGTGTACGGGTGTGTGCATGTGTGTGTGTGTGTGCGTGTGTGTGTGTAAGTGTGTGTGTGTGTGCGCGTGTGTGTGTGTGTGTTTGCGCATGTGCGCATGGGCCAGTGCATACATGCGCTCGCATGCCTGCAAACGCATGCACATCAAGGATGAGAGGATGGTTCGGCGTGCCGTTGGTGGCCACCCGCAGTGCCGACGACTTCCAACCCCGCCGCCCAGTCCCCCCACCGCACACCCGCCGCTGCCTCGTCCCTTCCCCCCTCGACGCGCCCGCAAGCCCACACTGCGGCACACCGGGACGGACCCACTCTCTTTTCTGTCCTGTTCCTTCGCCCCTCACCTTTGCGGCGAGCGCATCCGCAACCTCCTTGACCACCAGCACCAGCTTCACCGCAGTGCAGCGCTGCCCGCTGAATGAGAAGCCGCCCTTGAGGATCGACTTTGCCGCCAAGTCCAGGTCAGCGTCGCTGCCGGCAGAAACAGGCGACAGCGTTGTTGCGACGGGGGCAGCAGGGCCAAAGATAGTTTAGGGTGATGCGTAGTAGTTGCGTAGTAGTTTCGAGGGCGAGGGCGCCCCGCGCGCGGGGCTGGCAAGGATTCAGAGCAGGGTCGCATTTGGCAGTCCAGATGCTTGGTTGACGGAGGAGGGGCGCAGCGCCTCTGCCTGCTGAGGAAGGGACACAATTGTGGCTGCTCATGAATCACAGGAGTCAAGATGAGCGCACGTGCACACACACACACACACACACACACACACACACACACACGCACACACACACACAAACACACACCATCTACACAGACACATCAACGCACACCCACTCCACCCCTGCCCCACCTGCACACTATGCAGACGTCCTTCCCGCCCAGCTCCATCTGCAGCGGCACCATCCCCGCGCGCCGCGCGATCGCAATCCCGGTGTCGCCCCCCGTGAAGCTGATGCAGGAGACCAGCGGGTGCAGCGTCAGGTAGTCCCCGATCTCCGAGCCCTGCGGCGGTTATGTCGGTTGGGTGCGGGGATCAGGGTTTCGGGGGTCCACCAGATGTCGATCAGGTAATGCCAATGACGGTTGCTGACGGTTACGAGGGGCAGCGGTCACGAGGGCCAGCGGCGGCGGGTTTCACGGCGGCTGCCGATTACTGGATTGTGAAAGCGCTAGTGGCGAGCTCGGCTGAAGTCACAGGCCCAAGGAGGCCGCGGGGTATGGCCGGATCTAGGTGTCGGAGGCAGGCGCGACACAGCCCCAAACTCCGGACGGCCAGCAGTGGGCCAACCCGGACCCCCAGCCCCGACCCGCGCGGCCGCCAGCGCCCCGCAACCGCACGAGCTCGGGGACTCCTGCGGGCCTGAGGAAATCGGCCCCCTATTGCTGCAGCTCGCCACTACCCGCCTTGCCAGTGACCATGTTGACGAGGCCCTTGGGCAGCCCCGCCTTTGCAAAGCACTGCATCATGTGGGCCCCAGCGACCACGCCCTGGGAGGGCGGCTTGAGCACGACCGCGTTGCCCGCCATGAGGGCGGGCGCCAGCTTGGACGCGGCGAGGTTGACTGGGTAGTTGAAGGGCGGGATCGCGAGGACGACGCCTAGGGGCACCTGCGAGGGCCCGCCAGAGCATATGTGTGCATGTGCATTTGCATGTACATGTGTATGTGTGATCGCGTGCAGTGCAGGCCGCGCGAGCGTCTGGCGTGATCCCATGCAGCTGTGTGTGTGCACGCGTGCTGATGCGTGTGTGCGCTCGCTTGAGCCGTGCGGCAGCGCCTGGGGCTGGCCGGCAGCAGCGATCAGCCGGGAGAGTCGCACATGGATTGCTGATGCCGCCAGCCCGCGAGGATACCCCCAGCGCTGCGGGGACCCGCTTCGAGCCCCGGGGTTGCTGCTGCACGGCCCCGCAACTGCGTTGCACTGCAGCCACCTTTGATACGAGGCACAGCTTGTTGCGGGTCTGCCCCGGGAAGGAGTCCGAGGTCAGCAGCTCCCCTGCCCCCAGGGCGCGCGCGCCCTCCTCCGCCGTGTAGTCTATGAGGTCGGCAGACCTGGATGCACGAGCACGCATGTGTATGTGCATGTGTGCGCGCTGCGCGTTGATCCGAATTCGGGGATGTTGTAGCGCCCTCCAACCCACCCTCTGCATTCAAGCAGCCCATCTGGAAAAATGCGTTCCCCCCCACCTGACGACCTCGTCCAGGCTCTGCTTGGCCGGTTTTGCGACCTCGCGCACAAGGCTGTCCGCAATCGGCTGTGCGTGCTGCCTCATAAGCTCTGCCACCCGATGGAGCAGCTGGGCCCGGCGCCACAGCGGCGTCGACGCCCACGAGCGCTGCGCCGTTTTGGCCGCCTGGAACGCCGCATCAACCTCCTGCTGCGTGCACGCCTGGACATCGAAGTCTTTCTTGCGAGTGGACGGGTTGATGACGCCTACTGTCTTCCCAGAGGTGGATTCGAGCCACTGCCCGTCGCAAAGCCATTTGAACGCTCCTCCTGCTGCCCTGATCTCGCTGTAAAAATCATGTGTGACTGATGAGAAGCCGCGTGCCAGCGCCCTGTGCGTCCTCTGCCCGGCACGAAGTCGCGGGATCTGAGCAAGCCCCCACATCCGTGCCTGTGCCGCAGTTATGAATATTTACATGTGTAGGATTGCCTTGTCATTGCATATGCGGCCTCTTCCCTGCACAGCCGATGCGCGTGGGTCACCAGGTGACTTGCCACGCGGGCAAGCGCGATCCTGTGCCTGCAGCCCCATATGTTGTGCGTTCATTAGGTCACCTGGAAGCATGTCCTTGAATCAGCATCTCTATGGCCTTACAAGATGCGTGCCGCTGTTGGCGCAAGGGTTAGAGCTGGCAGCGCGATGGGCAGGGCGCCCCGCTGGCACACAGGCGCCGAAGAGGCAAAAGAAGGCAGCAGCGCTGCTGCAGCCAGGACAATCATACGTGCTCATCCGCGCGCGGCGAGTGACGCTGTGTTCACTTGCAATGGGGTCCGCGCACACGCGCATGTAGCCGGCTGGCGCACGTGGTGTTGAGGGTTGGAGGTTTTTGGTCGCACAAGGTGGCGTAATCCATTGCGTGGCGTTTATCAATGCAGGTAAGGAATGAGTTATGCGGCCAGTCACAGAGTGCAAGGATCTGGCAGACAAACAAGCACCAGACAAGCTGCAGCCCAGGGGAACCCCGAGAGCCCGCCGCAATCCAAGCTGGCGGTCGGACGCATGATGGCGCAGGTCTCAACCTGCCCTCCGCCCCGCAGGGCAGACGCCTGCATGTTTGTGAGCACGTATGCAGGTCAAGGCTGAAGGGCTTGGCAGAGATGCAGCACAGAGCCTCTGCGCGGGCTCACGTGGGTGTGCAGGGCCACTCGTATGGCAGACCGCAGCGGATATGGCTGTGCATGCAGACCCTGGTGATGCTATGTTGTAACTCATGCTCCAAATGTAAGATACAACCACATTGACGACACCACCGGAGAGGTTGCTGACCAAAAATGAACAAACCTGCACAGGCGGTTATGTTTGTTGAGTGGCGACCGCTTGAATTGCATGATACAGCCATATAGCAGGCCCTAGACG